TTTAAAAAAAAATGAAAAACAAGATGTACCCACCCCACTTAGGGTAAGCCAGCCCAGGAGAAGTGTGGCCACTGTCCCCTGAGCTACTTACTACTCATTCTCCAACAATGTCAGTAGGAGGGCAGAGGCTGTTAGTGTCCATGCAGGTTGGAAGCATCATGCCCTCCAGCTATCAGAATCTCACTGACATTTGATTGGGATGAGTCCCCCAGTGGAAGTAGCATCTCCCTGGTGGGTGGGATAGTGGCACTTTCTGTGCATGAAATATTCTACAAAGAATAACAAATTATCTTTTCCTGAGTACCTACTGTGTGCTGAGGATCCATAGAGGGAGGTTAATAAAGCCAGTGTCTAATCATACTCATGAGTGACTCTCAGTCCAGTAGGGGAGAGGGACATGAAAACTACCGGTGGCTCACAAGGCAGAGTGAAAGAAGCACCAAGTATAAGCTTAGGCAACTCCCTCCGTACAGGACAGCAGAGGAGAGTGGCCTCTTGAAACCAGCAGACTTGGGTCCAAACCAGAGTAATTTGTCACCCTGGAGGATAGCAGGGATGTAAGTGAATTGGGAGCATCAGAGGCAGACTTCCTGGGGGTTGATCCTGGAAGAATGAGAAGCGTTCTGAAAGGTGCAGAAGACAAGGTGTACTTGAGTCAAAGGAGGGAGTTGGGAGCAGTGCTGGGACTAGAGAGGGAGAGGTTGCACCAGCCAGGGTGCACCCCTCAGATGCCTTTGGCACTCCACATGGACTTCTCCCTCCTTCCATTCCTCCCCACCCCACTTGCTTCCCTCCTTAACCACTGTTGCCCACCTCTGCCCTCACCTGTTCCCAAGGGCCTCCAGCTGTTGCTGGGATATCTGGTTCACCAATAACTTCATTTCATGCCCGTGGGTTTCCTGGGACCTGCCAGCCATCCCTGTGACTGTTATTGCTTTGGGTAATTTCACCTTAATCTCTGCCTTTGAGTCCACACAGTCCGAAATTCGGAATTCAGTCCTTTGACCTGGAGAGAGAAGGGTAAAGGTCAGACAACACTCTCTGGAGCCGTCCCCTCCTGGGGTAGTCCCTCCACAGTCCCCTTCCCTCCAGCTGTGGCTCTCCAGGAAATGCCTTTTGTTCACACCAGGAGTCATCCTGGGGTCACACCATCCTGGGTTTGAGCCTGCTCTGCCCCCTTCTTACCAAATGATCTTGGATAAGTCACTTACCCTCTTTGAATCTCACTCAGTCTCATCTACAGAAGGAGAATAATAATATACTTATTCTTGTGTGCTTGGGAAGATTAAATTAAATAATGCAGTTAAGCACTTAACAAGATGCCTGGAACAAAGCCCAAGTGCTGGACAAATGGTTGGGGAGGAGTTGTCTTATATAACTATTTGAGCTAGCCTTATATAACTATTTGAGAGGCTGAAATGACATAAAGAAGAGTAAAGCTAAAGACTCAGAAGCCCTTGACAATTAGGAAATAAAACTTTAGCACAGTTCAATCTCTGGTGTTGGCGTGAACTAACTGTGCAGGTATAAAGTGAGACAACCCTGGAACGCCACCTGTCAGTGTGGACTCTGCCCTGATTGTGCAGGCACTAATAAAAACCTGGGTTCGGAGTCAGCTGCTGCCCCAGGGTTAGTGGAAAGTGTGTAGGGATGCAGAGGAGGGAGGGCTGCTATTGCTGGGATTTTGGGACAGGCAGGGAGGATTACTCAATAAACAAGGTAAACATAGGCTTACTTGTGCTTATTTGCTGATCTGTAGTGATCAATTCCACATGGGAGGGAACAGAGTGTGCCCTGCTCCTCCTGCTGTTCTGTCTGCCTGAGCAGCAGCAGCAGCCCAGTCCACAGCCCCCACTACCCACGGGACAAACCCCCGAGAGCGCCCAGAGCCATGACCTCTGCCTCACCCGCCTGTATCCCACCAGTGGTCCTGTGCTGCAAGAATACTGGTGTGGGATCTTTAAAACCATTAGGGGAAAATAATAAACAAAAGGAGAGCTACTCTCCCTCTTTAAAAAAAAAAAAAAACTTATGGGACCCCAGCTATATATGCAGTGGGATGTGACTTTTCCAACCATACTTAAACTGAGTATATCTGTAATACATTTGAAAGGGGAGTAGAACAGTTGCTGAATTCAGATTACCAACTCAGTTCATTGTTAAGGGTTTCTTTTAAAATTTGGTTGCACTTCAGCCTCTGGATTTTTTTAATGCGAACAGATGGGCTTTTCCTTAAAGGAAGTTAACTGGCTTAGTCAAATTTTTTCCGGCCTTACACTCTGCCCCTGGCGAGTAATACGATCATGGCAAGACATCCTAGCCCTCGTTTAAAATATTGTTCTGTTTTCAATGAATCAGGCATTTGGTGAACTGATTTTTTTAGAACTGCCTTGTAATAAATTGGCTCTTGGCAATTTACTTGCAGAGAACTGCTGTAGAATCCTTGAAAAATGCTAACTGTACTATCTCCAAAAGCCCTTGTTTACTTTATCAAACTCCACTTGTGGAAAAATTACCTCCAAGTGTCTAGGCATCTAACACACTATACCCCTTGGTCACACTACAGCAGTTCCTGGCCCATGGTGAGATGTTTCGAAATTGTTCAGTGGCATTGTTTGAACTCTCCCATATCTTGATATGAACCCAGTAAGAACGGGGCATTAGCAAAGAAGCCTGAGGTCTATGAGACCAGAACTAGATGGTGCCCAACCACCAATGTCAACCACTTGGACGGGAATTGGTGCATAAGATCCTGGATAGAGTGGGAGAACAATGTGGAGCAAAACTCAAAATCACAAAAAAAAACTAAGTTTACTGGTCTGACAGAGCCTGGTGGGAGGGACCCCTGAGACTAAAGCCCCTAGTTACCCTTCAGGTCTGGAATTGAACTCGCTCCTATGGCTTCCAGCCAAACAATAGACAGGCATATAGGGTGGACCATAGGAGAACAGAAGGGCAGTGTTTGCACAAGGAGATAGCTTGGGAGGCAGGAGTGCACGGGAGAGAAGGACACAGGGAAGAAATAACTACGGGGAAAAGGTGGGAAGAGAGCTGTTACGTTGTGGAGAAGTACAGTCAATGTCATAAGACAAAATGTGTATGAACTGCTATATGGAAAATGAATTTACTCTAAACTTTCACCCAAATCACAATAAAAATTTGAAAAAAAAAAAAAAGGCTGGAAGTTTGAGCTGTAAAACTCATAATGAGGCAATGAAACAGGCCTCCAAGTGAGGGTTCAACAACACTTTCCCTGGAGCTTCTGAAACTCAAGATGAAGCCCCAGGAATAGCTGAGCAGAGAGGCAGGGGAATGGATTAATGGCCCCTCTATTAGTCACTTCAAGAGGTATTTCTGACTTCCTTTTGTTCATGATCACCAGAGAATATGAGAGATAATAATAATAATTGTTATCACTAGAACAATTGGCATTAACTTTAAAGGAGAATTCCTTCCATGCCAGGCACTTTGCTAAATGATTTATGTAACTTAGCTCATTTGATTTTTAAATTATGATCATTGTTAATTTGATGTATTTTGTTGCTGTTAAGAATATACACAGCAAAACGTATACCTATCCAATAGTTCTACATGGACGAGGCGGTGACAGTGAATACATTTCTCAAGTTCTGCAACCATTCTCACCTCCTTTTCTGAGTTGTTCCTCTGAACCCAGACTACCTGGGTCTATGTCCCAGTGCTGCCACTTACTAGCTTTGTGTTCATTTGGCAAGCCTCCTAACTTCTCTCTGCTTCAGTTTCTTCCTCTGCAATATAGGGATAATAATCTTCAAAGGGTGGTTGTGAAAATTAAACAAATGAATTAACCGTGCCAAATTCCCGGTACCTACTAAGCATATATATTTTTAAGTTTTTTCATTTGAAATAATTTAAAATTTATAGAAGATTGTGAGAATAGAAAAAGAGCTCCTGTTCCTTGAATACCCTTCACTTCTTGTGCTGTCGTGAGGTACCGTGCAGTCACTCCACCGTAGTTACTCTATGTTCAACAGAACGAAATGCTGCCCAGTTGTGTGCCATCCTCACAATGTATGCTTGAGCTATGCTTGAGCCCATCGTTGCAGCCACTGTAGCAATATATCTCATTGAGGGCCTTCCCCTTTTTCACTGACCCTCTACATTACCAAGCACAATATCCTTCTCCAGGGAATGGTCCCTTCTGACAACATGACCAAACCAGGTGAGACGTCTGACCATTCTCGGTTCTAAGGAGCATTCTGAGCTGTTCTTCCAGGACAGATTTGTTCGTTTCAGTCCATGGTATTTTCAGTATTCTTCACCAACACCACAATTCAAAGGCATCAACTCTTCTTCGGTCTTTCTTATTCATTGCCCAGCTTTCACATGCATATGAGGCAACTAATAATACCATGGCTTGGATTAGGCGCACCTTAGTCTTCAAAGTGATATCTTTGCTTCTTAATACTTTAAAGAAGTCTTTTGTAACAGATTTGCCCAGTGCAATATGTCGCATTGCAACCTTCCCTTAGATTCACTCATTTTTTCCCCATTTCTTTTCTTCTAATTTTTTTTTCATTTTGTTGTTGCTATTGAGAATATACACAGCAAAGCACGCACCAATTCAACTGTTTCTCCATGTACAGTTGAGTGACACTGATTCCATTCTTTGAGTTATGCAACCATTCTCACCCTCCTTTTCTGAATTGTTCCTCCTCCATTAACATAAATTCATTGCCCCTTAACGTTCCTATCTAATCTTGCAAGTTGCTATTGTCAATTTGATCCCATATAGATAGTTCGTAAAAGAGCTTAATCCTCAAGGCAGATATTTTTTACTAGTTAAACTAAACTATTGTTAGGGTTTAAGAAGACTTCAGAGGATAGTTTAGTGTAGGTTTAAAGATTATCTCAGGGCAATAGCTTCCTATCATCCAACTTTCATGGCTCCAGGAAGTCTAGAGTCCATAAGAATTTTCAATTATGTTCTGCGTTTCCCCCCTTTTGATCAGGATTCTCCTACAGAATCTTTGATCAAAATATTCAGTATTGGTAGCCAGGCACCATCCAATTCTGGTCTCATGGGACAGGAGGCAGTTGTTCATGGAGGCAATTAGCCTCACATTCCATATCCTCCTATTCTGACTCTCCTTCTTCCTCTGTTGTTCCAGGTGAATAGAGCCCAATTGTTGTGTCTTGGATGGTCAATTGCAAGCTTTTAAGACCCCGTGCACTATGCACTGAACTAGAAGGTAGTACAGAAGCAATTAACAATTTATAAGGCCAATTAACTGGGATGTCCCATGTAACCATGACCCTAAACCTCCAAACCAAGAAACCAAATCCCAAGAGGTTTTTGGTTGTACATAAGTGGGCTCAGCAACCTTTTTTTTAATTGTTGTTGTAAATATATCTATCACACAACTTCTGCTGATTCAACTTTTTACAGATGTAAACTTATTGACAGCAATTACAATAATCAGTTGTGGAACCCTATCCTAAATCAATGCAGTATTTCCACCATCATTAACCCCCATCTTCCCCTCCCTCCCACTTTTGTAACCACTAATGAATTTTGTTCTCTATGCGTTTGCCTTTTCTTGTCTTTTTATATGAGTGAGGTCATACAATATTTTGTGATCAACTTATTTCACTGAGCGTAATGTCTTCCAGCTCCATCCATATCGTAGCATATGTCGAGACCTCATTTCTCCTTCTGGCTGAGTATATTCCATTGTAATGTATGTACCACATTTTGTTTACCCATTCATCTGTTGATAGTTATTTAGATGGTTTCCACCTTTTGGCTACTGTGACTAGTGCTGCAATAAACACAGGTGTACAAGTCTCTGTTTGAGTCTCTGCTTTCAAGTTTTTTGGTATAAATCTAGGAGTCAAATGGTAGGTTTTTTTTTTTTTTTTAAAGAACTGTCACAGTTTTTTCCACAACTGCTGTACCATTTTGCATTCCCACCAGAAATGGGTAAGTGTTCCAGTCTCTTCACATTTCTCACCAATATTTGTTATTTTCAGGTGTTTTTTCATGTGTTTGTTTGTTTTATTTTAGCCATCCTAGTGAGAGTGGATGGTATCTCATTGTGGTTCTGATTTGCATCTCTCTGATGACTAATGATGCCTGAGCATCTTTTCATGTTTTTCGTGGCCATTTGAATGTCTTCTTTGGTGAAATGTTTATTCAAATCCTTTGCTCATTTTATGATTGGATTATTTGTGTTTTTGTTGTTAAGTTGTTGAAGTTTTATATTTTTGTTGTTAGATTCTTGTTGGATATCTGGTTTCTGCCTCATTTGAGTCTTAAAACGGTCTTTACAGTTGATTCATGAGGAAACTGAGACTTAGAGTGATAAAGAAACTTGCTCAAAGATCACCCAGCCGGTAAGTGGCAAAGCCAGACTTTGAACCTGGTGCCTCCAGCTCTAAATCTGCATCCATCCTTTCTTAACCATTAAGCAAACTGCCTCCATTATTACCCATTTAAAATATGAACCTATAAAAGTATGAGAAGAGTTCAACTAATTTAGAAGTAAATTGTTTACAGAGAAAACAATAGAAAAGGAAGAGTATTTAGGCATCATTTCCAATATAAATCTCCCTATCTCTTACTCCCTTCACCCCATGTGACTCTGCTGTCCATTTCTTAAACTGAGGTGCCAACATGGCCATGTAAGGTTTTTTGTTGACTGGTTGATGGATGCCCATTTGGTTGATGGCAATGGGGAGTTGAGGGTGGGGTGCAGTAGGAGTGGGCCAAGCCTCCTGGCTGGCCATCTCACACCACCTCGTACTGACCTGAGGACCCAGAATCCAGCTCATCAGTCAGCTTTTCACCCTCCTCTGTCTCCAGGATGTCCTTCAGGGTGAGGCCTGTCTTGTGGAACTGGAGTCCCAGTAAAGTTTTCTTTTCCCTCACCAGATAGAAGCAGTTGAATCTGTCAGCATCAATGACACTTCTGACAGCAATCATATCCCCTCCAGAGTCCAGCTCTTGGACCACAGTTTTTGTGATTCCTTCAAATACACTGGGCATTGTGCCTGGATTAACTGGGAAAAGATAGGCAATTTCATTTTGAGGGAGGGAGGATATGGACTCAGGGTTTTTAAATCTTCCACCTTTGGCTGCCTGGGGTCACAGAAGAGCCCTAAGTTCCAGGAAAGATAGGACATGAGATGATTTGCCTTTCCTGCTTTTAGAAGGTGAGACGATCAAAACACACTGAGGAAGGATGGACATCACAAATCCCAGACTCCCCTCTGACCTTCATGGAACCCATCTGGAGAAAAGATTCAGTGATCACCCCAAGTAGGGAGAGTGAAACTTATTTTCTGCATCTCTCGCAGCAGAATTACTCCCTGCTTAGAGAAACCTGCAGGGGAGGAAGGCCCATCATCCTCCACCAGACCCTCAACAATGTGGATGAACAGAGGAACAAGGAAGGGATGAGGGCCATGGCTGCCAGAGCTCCTGTTCCCAACCCCAACTGGTTATTTCTTCCCTTGCCTCTGATTCCCAGGCCCCCCCACCCCCCACTGCCCTACCTCGGCTATAGTCTCCAAGGCATTTGGATGGGTTCCTCCCTCCCAAAAATTTCTCTTCTCAACTCACAGAGATGGTGATAAATAAGTCTCAGAAGGAAGCAAAACAGAAAGGACAGAGTACAAAAGCGGCTTGGAACTGGGCACCCTGGGAAGCCCACACAGATGCTTCCTCCTCCGTTTATGATCACCTGAAGCGCCCCCTTGTCCTTGATAAAATAAAATTAATTCTAAAGCCCCACCAGAAACATCTTCTCGTATCCACTCTCCCCTTCACCCTTTCCCGGTTTACTCCTAGCCCCTGTACATCTCTATCTTCCCTGCCCCTACCAGACCCACCACAAGCCCACCATCCAAGCAATCTGGCCCAGCTGGTCCTTTTCTGTTTCTATTCTGCAAGATCTTGTTCTCCTACTTCAGGCTCCTTTGCTTCCTTTCTGGTGTTGGGCCTCACCTCATAATCCTCCTGGGTTCCACTTCCCCGTCCTACCTGTAGCCACCTTCCTGAACTGGCCCAGGATCCCTTCTCTGTGCCTGTTCCCGTCATGGTGCCAACTCTCAACTCATTCCCAAACTGAAAAGTCTTCTGGGTGTCTGTAAAGGCAGTGTCCATGGCCCACAGACCCATCTCAGGGCCTCCCCACCTCCTCCCTAGACCCATGCTCCCAGGCCTCCCCTCCTCAGCCACTCACCAGAAGTAGAGGTTGTAAGAATCACACTCAGTCGGATCTCTGCACAATTCCTGGCCGCTATGCCTCAGAAAACAATAAGGAAACAAAGTTATCCAAACTGAGCATTTCATGGAAGGCTGGGTAGGGCTAGAGCCCCGCCTCCAAGGCCAAGGATTGCTGGGTTGGAGATAGATGAGGCCAGAGGTCAGAACTTCTTTTCCCTTGTACCCAGGAAGTGGGTAGTAGGTATTGATACGTTCCAGGTGAGTCTGGGCCAGAGAATGGTATGAAATGAGGCATACTGAGCTATGAAATCAGGGCTTTGAACTAGTTCAGCCTGGTTCCATCATAGTCAATGGACCAACATTGGAATGGACTCAAATTTTTAATGTGGTTGAACTGGCACCAGAAAAATTACAGGTTGATGCCCTAATAGAAACTTCATCTCCAACTTAGAAAACAAGGGCAGCGAGTGTGTTACACAGCAACCAAATCTCTTCAACAACTGAGTCAAAAACAATGGTACCCGTCTCAAAGATGGCAGCAGATCTCATCGCTTTGAATGTGTGTTGCTCTCCATAGTTCTGGTGATAATCCAGTCTCCCACATCAGGCTCCTGAAGGTGCACTGCACCTCTTCAGAGTTTCATTCCAGGGCTTCGACCATCATTTTTCCCTTTCTGGTTAGTGTTCTGGATCACGCAAATTAAAAAAAAAAAAAAAAATCTTGTCTCTTCCTGTTTCACTTCTTTGACTGTGACTGAACTGGTTTGAAGTCCTGCATGGGATTCAGTGATTTGGGAATAGAAAAATGGGGAACAGGTAGATATCAACCAAGTGCCAGCAAACAAAGGCTGTGGTTGTGCCAGGGATATTAGAAAAGTGTTGTTGTTGTTGTTGTTGTTATGTGCTGTCAAGTCGATTTTCAACTCACAGTGACCCCCTGTGACAGAGCAGAACTGCCCCATAGGGTTTTTTAGGCAGATCACCAGGTCATTCTCCTGTGGAGCCGCTGGGTGGGTTCTAGCTGTCAATCTTTTGGTTAGCAGTGTAGCATTTAACCATTCTGCCACCGTCACCTTCTATCAGGAAAGTAACCTAGCTGAAATTAACTACCCAAAAACCACACTGATGTGGGGGAACATTGAAAGCTCAGAGAACAATAGCAGCTAACATCTCAGGAAACAATCTGGACCAGTAGGGAGGACTCAGCCTCCATCCCCCACACAGACTCCCAGGGACCCTCTCAGAAAGATCCTGACCCTCCTTACCTGATGGCACCTACCCTCTTCACCCACCTTCTTCTCCAAAGAGAAGCCTCTGGCCCCACACTTCATTGCTCTCTTAGATAACAACATGGGTCAGCCTAGTCTATCTTCTGGCCTCTGCCTCCCTTAGTTGTGAAATAACATTTAAGAAGAGGAGATGGTGATGATGTGATAACAATTGTAAAAATAATATAAAATAAAAACAAACAAACCCACTACCATTGAGTCAGATCCAACTCATAGCGACCCCTCCTTGGGTTTCCAAGGCAGTATCACTATGGAAGTAGATTGCCTAGTCTTCCTTCCAAGGAGTGGCTGGTGGGTTTGAACCGCCAGCCTTCTGGTTAGCAGTCAAATGCCTTAGGCACTACACAACCAGAACTGCTAAAAAATAATATAGTTACTGCATAAATGGAGAGTCCCACCCACTGCCATCAAGTTGATTCCAACTCTTAACAACCCCCATAGGATTTCCAAGGCTATAAATAAATCTTTACAGAAGCAAATTGCCTCATCTTTCTCCTGCACAGCAGCTAGTGGGTTCAAACCATCAACCTTTTGGTTAGCAGCCCAACCCTTAACCGCAGCACCACCAGAACTCCTTAAGGGGACAGCAGTGGTTTAAAAACCTTATGGATCATGACAATTCAATGCTGTGGTGCATGGTGTTGCCAACTCAAAGTCGGCCAATAGCAACACCACCACAACAGGCAATGTGATAATCCTCACAACAACCCTAATCAGCATTGTCATCTTTGTACTACAGAGGAGGACACTGAAGCTCAGAGAAGCAAAATAACAAGGTCACACAGCTAGGAAACAGTAGAGCTGGGATTTGAACCCAGATGATTGTGGCTGCACTCTTGCATTTAGATGCTCCTACAGCACCCACAGCCCCAAGACTGAGCCCAGGTGGCTGCCATTTCTCCTCTGTGCTGTAAGCAGTGGTGTCACTCGGGAGGTGAAGGGGTGTGTGTACCACACTGAGTGACACTATCACAGGGGGTGTGATAGTTGGAGCTGTTTGTCAACTTGGCTGGACCACAATTCTGTGTGGTTTAAGCAATTGTCATGTAGGTTATTCCAATGATGGAATCAGATGTATATGTTTTGAGCAGCCAATCCATTGGAAGGGAGTTTCCCTGTTGTTGTTGTTATTTGCCGTCGAGTCGGCCCCGACTCATAGCGACCCCTCCTTGGGTTTCCGAGGCAGTATTACTACGGAAGTAGGATTGCCCAACCTTCCTTCCGAGGAGTGACTGGTGGGTTTGAACCGCCAGCCTTCTGGTTAGCAGTCAAGTGCCTTAGCCACTATGCTACCAGAGCTCCGGGGTATATTTATGGACATCCTGGGAATGTGAGAAGACACTCTTCTGTGGATCGGGATTCTGTTGTGCTGCCAACAACTGTCTGTGAGCGAACAATCCACCATTCGGCCTGGAGATCTTGGGTTCATCATTCACTGGAGTCAACAGCCAGTATACTGCCTGCCAACCTTGATCTCCTCAGCCCCTGCGGCTGCATGAGTCAGAAAAAGCCTCCACCTTAACGTTTGATCCAAGAACTTGGGACTTGCCAGCTTCTATAAGTGTGTGAGCCATTTTCCTAAGATAAATTTCCCTTTATCTCTCTGTCTATATATAAGTTTTACTGGTTTTGCTCCTCTAGAGAACCCAGTCTAACACAGGGGATGACACCAAAATGACTGTCTATAACATTTCTATGAAGTTTCAGCAGAAATTTATTATTTTTTATAAAAATATCCCTGTAGTTAGTTATAATAAAAATAGTTTTTGTAAGCCCAGCTTACATACATCAATACATATTGAAGGCTTAAACTCTATGCTGATTTACTTTTTGAACCTTCTAATGTGCTCTTAAGAGTTCTAGTGGCGTAGGGCCTAAGTAAGGCATTTGACTGCTAACCAGAAGGCTGGCAGTTCAAACCCACCAGTCACTCCTTGGAAGGAAGGTTGGGCAGTCTACTTCCGCAGTGATATCGCTTCAGAAACGCAAGGAGGGGTCGCTATGAGTTGGATCCCACTCAACGGCAGTGCGTTTTTTTTTTTTTTTTTTTTAATGTGCTCTGGTCAGAACATTATTACCCAATTACAATGAAGCTTCAAATCATGTGGGTTTGTCTGCACACGCCACAGCACACACTGTCATTTTTACTGCTGCTGGTGTTTTCATAGTCACCAATTTGTCACTGTTTTGGTTACCTCTATGCCACTCAAACAGAAAATATACCACAAGTGGGATACTTGAACAAACAGTTTATTCTCTTACAGTTTGTAAGCTTTAAGTCGGAGTTCAAAGTGCCAGGCTCTAGGGGCTAGGTGAAAGCCCCTCAACCTTGAGCTTCAGCTCTGCCTCCTGCTCCTGGCCCAGTGAAGCTGGAGGCTTTTCTTCACTCAGACAGCTGCTGGCTGCTGAGACTGACAAGCCCAAGGTTGACAAGCAAAAAAGGCACAGTCCCAATATTACCAAACCACATGGTAGGCCATTCATTCAAGTCCATTGAAAGTCCCAAGGTCGACAGAGCATGGCAGGCTGCTGAACAACGACACAGCCACATGCAGGGTTCAAAGGTGCCGTAAGCTAGACACCATCCCCCAAGGCTTCTCCTTATATATAGGAAGCAGACCACAGCCATAAGGCTCACAGTAGATTGCACCATGGAGTTGATTACCAGTTTCATCGTGGGGAATACTACATCTAGCTGCCCAGCCATTCAACCAGGCCCAGCCAAGCTGACACACAACCTTAACTACCACAGTCACATTTTCTGGTGTTTTAGCTACAATATTGTGGTAATTAGTATTTGTGAACCTATAGTAATAACCTGTTTGAGAATGAAGCAGCAATTAAAGGAAAAGGAGAAAAAATCAAAAAAGGCTTCTACTCAGTTACTAACGATGTTTGTGACTATTAATGTAATTCAACGTAGACTTTACAAAACAATTGTTAGTATTCACATAGCCTGAGAAATATTACATTTAAACAATTTACAATTATGTTTGTCACATATATTTCTGTGATTAAAATCGGTAACAAACATTACTAAGGATTCTGTATGGGCTGGTATAGAAGGCCCATGCTGTGTGTGTGTGACACCAATCCTAGTGTTACCACTGGCTGTGAGGGCCGTACTCTGGGATTCTGGACTTGGGCAAACTCCCACCTTCCTGACACCCACTCCAAGGACATTATGATGCTGGGCTAAGGCCAGGGAGGAGCCCAATCTGCTGGAGCAATTCCCCGCTTTAGCCCATGACTTTGTACTTGTCCCAGGAGTAGCAGATGATACTGTAAACACTCCAAGGCCAGCGCCCTCAGGAGATAAGGTTTCCTTCACTACAGGGATCCTCCCTTCCCTGATTCCGTGAGCTTCAGTTAGGCCTGGGAGAGTTACCCTTTCCCCTCCTATTCATGGAGGAGGAGTGAAGATTCCTCTGGGGACAGAAAAGCCAGGAGGCAGGCAGTGCAGCCCCCCACCCCCACCCCCAGGGCAGGATCAACTGAGGAAACAAAGACCTCAGGAAGGAGTGAGGAAATAAGGACAGGGCATCCTTCAGAGCCTCCCAAGACCTAGCCAGCCAGTGGAGCCGGAGGTGTGGCACCTGACAGAGGAGCAGCCACACAAAGGCACCATCAGAGTCTAGGTCTGTTGCTGCCTCTACCAACTCCCTCCACAGGGACCCCTTCTCCTTAAGGTGAGGCAGCAGAGAGACCCTCAGTCTGAGTCCTTCCTACCTGATGCCCCCACCACTGCCGTTGGCAGGAACGGCTGCCCACACCCTGCCCCATACCTAGGGCCCTCCAGGAAGCAGAGGCCAGACGGGGAAACGGACACAATGCCCTTTATTTGCATCTCTCAGAATACTGTACAAAGGGAGTAAAAATCCTATTCACACTTTGCTTAGAAAGATTTTGAGGCGAAAGTTCTCTATGACACATGGGCTGGGAGGTGGGTGGCTAGGAGGCAGAAAACAGGGCCAGTGACCTCCTCTTCTCCCTCAGGCCCCTGGGACAGGGCACAGGCACCCACAGCTCTTCCAAAGTAACAGTGACCCTGGTTGGACTAAGGAGAGGAGTAGAAGGCTCCTCTCCAGGTCTGCGCTCTGGCTCTGTCTCCACTTCTCTCTGCCTCATGGCTGAGGGGGCTGCACCGCAAGCTGTGGGGGTGGCTTTACATTCCCACATGTGCATGCCACACAAGAGGCCCTGCCCCAGTGCCGTCTACAAGGGGAGAGGCTGCATGAAGGCAGCCATCGTTTCTGTCCCAGCTTCCCCACGCCCCTCACACCACTGCAGAAAGCAGCCGTCAAATAGACCTGGGGGTACAACAACTCAGGGGCCTCTTTCATCTACCTCCATGCCCTCTCGCCAACCCAGGAGCTTCAAACCCACCTCCCATCCCTATCACCACTGCCATTCTGCAGGTAGGGTACTCTTCCAAGCCTGCTCCTCTCCCAGCCCACATCCCTAATGTCGAGGCTGGATCTAGCTCTGTCCCTAGCCCTCCTTCAGTCCCTCCCACCAATCTCTGTTGCTATGTGATCCCATTCTTCTAAATCTCAACTCTCCATCGCTCCTTCCCTCCCCCACCTGACCTCTACCCGGTAAAGATAGCCAAAGGCTGGCTCTGTACCTCTGGGACCAGGACATCCACACCAGCCCCACCAACCCTCTCCAGCCCCATCCAGTACTCAGGGTGGGTTGTAGGGAAGCTGCCAAAAGCATGAGACTTCAGTTACACAGGTCTCTGCCCAGAGGGATGAGGCGACATCACGCCTGCTGTCATAGGTACAAGAAGCACACTGTCACCCTAAAGACTCAAGAATTAAAGTGAAACAATTTAGAAGTTGTACCGTCCCTTCTGCAAAGTTAAAGTGCTCTGGCCGCCTGACAGTGAGCTAGTGAGCAGAGCAGGGGGTTTCCCTGACCTCCTGTCCCAGCCTCGCGGGTCCTTGCTCAGCCCAGCCCAGCCCATGACCACCCCCATAGAGTCTCTATTCAAAAGGCAAAAGGAAAAGATCAAAAAAAAAAAAAGGAGTCAGAGCCCCAGGGGGGGCCCACCCCAACCCCACTACAAGCTACTCCAAGTCGCTACTGGGGGAAGCGAGAGGGAATCTAGGGCCCAGAGGCTCAGCCTCCATCTCTGGCAGTGTCCAGAGGCTTCTTCTGTCTTCAGCATCGCAGCACAGACCGTCTACCCCACCCCTGCCATCCTGGGCAGTGGGGTGCTGCACCTTCAGTATTTATTGATTCCGAAAATCCGGACTCCGTGGAGCTGGGGCAACTTGGGGATGAGCACGCTCATCAAGGACACAGTGTTGAGGACGAAATGGATCTGGTCGTACTTGGTGTAGAAGCTGGTGAGGAAGTACCTGGATGGAAGGTTGGGGAGAAGCGTAAGACTTCAGAGGACTCCTTCTCACTCCCTGGGTGGGGAGAGGCAGAACAGAGTAGCCAGGGAATTATGGGAAAAGCTTCCAGACCAGAAGTGAGGTAGCAAGCACTCCCAGATGAAAGAGGCCCCTGTCACCAAGCCCCCTCACTTCACTTCAGGCCTGTGGGCCCATCTCACTGGCAGGAAGGAAGCCCACTTCAGGGAAGATAGGGCCAAGGAAGGTCCCAGGCCTGAATGAGCCCAGTGTAAGACCCAGGGATCCTCCAACGTCCCTTCCCCTGCTCACTCCTACCCAGAGCCAGAGCTAGAGCTGTCTGGGGCCCAGGGTCCCCCGGCCTTGTCCTGCCTGCTGGAGCCCTCCTCTACCCAAAACACTTACAGCACGATAGGTGTGATGGTCAAGAACTTCCGAGAAGCTGTGAACTGGACCCCATAGTCCATCTGCTCCCAGTGGGTCAGCAGCCTCGCTTTGCCCTGGTCCGGGGTCTCAAAGGGTGTCCCCTTCACCGTGTGCAGGAAGATGTACATGCCCTGAAGGGATGGGGTCTTTGTTAGATGATAGAAAGGCGAAAGGCCCTCCAGCTCAGCTCCTCCACCCCAGTCACCCATGCAGGGGCGTCTAGGTGGCCTGGAGCTGCCCTCTGCTGGGCAGGAGGATGTGGGCTGGAGGTCAGGATACAGCAGCTAGGAGCCCAGTAGGAGAAAAATAGAGAGACCCACAGAGGGAGAGGGCAGACCTGGCCTGAGAACACACACGGAGAAGAGCTAGCTGCAGAAGGGCCTAGCAACACCTGCTCCCTCAGCCCAGGTGTGCCCTCCTTGTGCCAGCTGGAAGGGGGGTGCTCTTGACAGGAAGCTGGGTAGAGATCAGACCCTTGCTTACCCACCAAAAGGGTACGAGGTAGCAGGTGGTAAGGGAGCAGAGAGGGGAAGAGTGGAAGGTGGTCTGAGATCCCAACTTGGGAAGAGGGCATGTCTTAACCTAGCTAAGCACTAGCACTCCTGGGTCCTGGGAACTCTTTGGGGCCCTTGGTTCCGCTCTCAATGGCCCACAGCTACCCCATCCTGGAGATGTTGACAAATCTGCAGACTATAATCCTCTTATCAGACCACACGGGGCTGGAACCCAGCAGAGGGAATCTGGCAGAGAGAAGAGAGCTGGGTCGAGAGAGCTGGGTCTAGCCCTGGCGACAGATGTTGTCAGTACGCCACCCTGACATTTGGCCCACGTCTGACAGACTCTTCCTACCCCTTCGCCCTGCCAAACAGCAGCCATGCGGCCGGGTCAGGCAGCAGGCAGGCCCTCACCATGTTGTGGATGAGGTTAGTGAGGGTCCAGACGACAGGGACGCTCACGAAGGGAATGCTGAGCAGCACCACGTGGAGGAGCCCAATGGCCAGCACGTAGGACAGCCAGATGCCACGGCTGTTCATCACCCGCGTGTTGGGGTTCACCTCGCTATGCGCTGTGCCCACGTTCATCCTGCCGCCCCTCTCTGAAGACGCTGTTCTGCAAACAAGCAGCACAGGTGAGACAGGTCACACCACTTTCCCTGCCCCCTCACACCCTTTAAATTCCGCAAGGAGGCAGGCTCCTCTCTCCCTGTCCCACTGTTTTTGATTCTCAAGCAAGGAGGCAGGACAAAGTCCATGTGGATTTAGCTCTATTCTCTTCTCACCTCTGGGTTGGGATAAATAGCAGGCCACCTCACCCGTCAGGACAATGCACCAGGATGCCTGCTAGTATAGGTCACCATGAGGCCTCCAGCCCCAGAGCAAAGAAACCAATGCTCAGCTCCTCCTATATCCCCTACAGCATTCCCAGGACGGTCCCCCTCCAGGAGGGGGCAGAGGCTGCCCTATGAGAACTCTCACTCAGCACAACCTCTGAGGCGCTGACCCCGGACATCTCCTACCCACAAGTCCTTCCCATAAGGAAGAGTAACAGGAGGTGGGACAGAGGGTACAGTCTGCAATGAAAAAATTTTTTCAGTCATCATTTCCACCTACCTCTTCTAATTCCCTAACCCTGGGCCTCCCTCTACCTTCACCCAGACGGTGATGATGTAAAAAGTGGGAGAGAGGGAATGAAGGAGCTAACAACAGACTAGGGACAACCTTTGCCCAGACCTGGAAGCTCTAACATGATGACACAATACACACATCCAGATGTTTTATCCATTTGGCAGTCACTCAGACTAGCCCTCGTGATGCCATCCGCTCTGCTGCCAAGCCACCAAGACGGACAGATGGCCCTTTTCCCCACCACAGAAAAGGTGAGGATAGGCATCGTGGCCAACATCTACAACTCCTGCAGGGAGCTGGAACCCACAGCAACACACCCTTCCCCTAGGACACAAAACCTCCTGCCCCCTTTCTTCTCTGCCTATCCACCCTCACCTCCATCTCCTCTTCCCAGCACCTATATGCAGGTGTAAATTAAGAACATGCCTTCCCCTGCCAGCTTCAATGGTAGAAGTCCTGAAGCTGGAGGAACCAGGAGGGTTGCCCCTGATGCCTAGAAAACCATGGTGGCAGAAACCCAGAGTGGGCAGAGGGAGGCGGGAAGGTAAAGAGAGAAGTGAGCAGTTCTTTGTCCAGACCTTCACTGTCCCCAGATCCCTGAGGGATGTGGGACCAGCTGCAAGTGGGAACAGATGGTGTCTGCACTGGCTCACCTCCCTGGATGAGTGAGGGCCTTGCCTGATGAAGACCCTAAAGTCATCACCATGGTAACATCCTGGTGATACAGAAAGGGGTCCCAGATGAGGGTACTCTGGGAGTGCCCAGAGGCCACCTTGCTCACCCCACTGCAGCCAACCTCTCAGACTCAGTTGCTATCTGCATCCCAGTTGGGCCTGCATGTTGTTATGTGCCGTCAAGTCGGACCCGACTCATAGCGACCCCTCCTTGGATTTCCAAGGCAGTATCACTACGGAAGTAGATTGCCCCATCTTCCTTCCGAGGAGTGGCTGGTGGGTTTGAACCGCCAGCCTTCTGGTTAGCAGTCAAATGCCTTAGGCACTACGCTACCAGAGCTCCCTGGGCCTGCATAGGAGCTAGAATTCCCAAGGGTTAGTTCCCTACTTCCAGGATCATGAACAAGTTTCCTTTTCTCAGACAGCTCCAAGCTTAGAGAGCTTAAGCAAAATGTGGCGCACAACACACCTTCACAACATACAAACATAGTGGGCTGACCCAGAGTGCATCCTGGAAGAAGTGATACTCCTGGGGCCCATCAGCCCAGCCCATTAGGCTGGATAATTGGGCCTAACGGAAACCCAAGGAACTAGAAAACCAGAGCTGTCTCTGTTGTTTACCTTCCAAGGCCTTGAGACTTCAGTTACACAGCCCCTGGGACACCTACTACGCAAAAGCCTCTACTTGAGGGGATGGGAGGGTGTCTGCCTGGGATTTGAAGGATCAGCAGAACTTGCTACTAAGGAAAGGGAAGAGTTCCCCCAGTCTGACCAGAAAGTGCTGCCCCCCCACACACACACTCCCTAACCCAGATCTACAACAGTGTGAGTGCAGAAAGATCTCCAGCCTTCCCTAATATTTCCTCCAAGCATGCCAAGAGCCTTGCTGACTTCCAGACCACAAGACCCTATACCCATTCCTGTCTGTCACGGGGCATCCTACCCAGCCTGATGGGTCTAGAAAGGACCTAGACCCCAGGTGCCAGCTACCACCCTGAGAAGCTTCTTCCTGAAGCCTGAAAACTAAGTGTCCTGCGAGCAAAAAATTCCAAGAGACCCCCAAAAAGAGGTAGAAGAAACTGAAAAACTAAGAAAAAGACTAGCAGCCAGGAAGCACTACTGAGAGTTTTGTGTGAGACCTATCATTTTTATGAATACAATAACCAACAGATCTCTCTCCCAGAAAAGGAGATATGGGGAGGAAAGGCTGGCAGAGGTAAAGTGTGTCTACAAGCGCTGAAGCTGAAGACTTCCGCCACTGTAGCTGGCAGGTGGCTGCCTACACCAGCCCCTGATGTGGTTTCATAACCTGCCTCAAAACAAGCGCCTGCAGCAAACTCAGTTCTGTTAACCACTTTCCTGCTGGTAGCTCTTTCCCACTCCTTCTCTCCCCTCTCTCCGTACCAGCTCCACACAAGAATATCCTGGCTCTGCCAGTCTGTCAAGACACCCAAGCCAAGGCTAGAGTGTGCCCCAGGGCAGGCCCAGGTGAGAACTTCCCATTCCCTCCTCCACATAAGGGTAGACTTTTACACCGAAAATCTTTTGCCTTCTGGGTAAGGGACACAAAACACCCAGGCCTGCACTCTGGACCTCAACTGGGGAGTCCCTGGCAGCAACCCCACAATACCTTTTACATTCCACCCACCCCCTAACCCGCAGGGTCACAACTGCTCACCTCTCAGCTATGACCAGGCCCTGGGACACAGGAAGGCAGTGGGAATAGAAAGAAGAGTACCCAGGCGATGCCCCACCAGCCGCGAAAGAGGGAGGAGCCACTAGGCGGAGTCTTCACTATTGTTGGGGCTTTCAGAGTGGGATTGCCAGTCCGCAAAGGAGCCTTCCGCTTGGTTTCTCAGCCTGGGACCTCGCACTCCGAGCAAGACCCGTTCCGGGGCCCCACCCCCATCTCCACGCTTTCACCTAGCCCTGGAGGCGGGCAAACCTTTATCCCCAAAGCCGAGCCTCACCCCGCCCCCCACCCTCAGCCCGGGCGTCCTTCCAGACGCCCCAACCCCAGCTTCCCGCCCCCACTTCCCTTTTTGGGCACCCTCTCGGCTGATGAACCACCTCCACTCCCACTCACCCTATTTTAGTCCGCTCCAGCCAGGGGCACTTCCCAAGCACCCCCCGACTCCTCTCCCGCCCCGCCTCCAGGTCCTGGGGGCCTGCCGGCTCCCTCACCCTTGAGGCCACTGTTCGGACTTACCCTGCGGGGCCGGAGGTCGAGGGCCCAGGAGAAGGGCCCACGGCGGGGGCGGAGGCCGCTGCTGCTCTAGCAGCTGTAGGTAACAACCCGCGGCGGCAGCCACCCCGCTGGCAGCTCGGGCCGAATCAGCGCCCCGCGCCGGCCCCCGTGATGTCACCGTCCCGCGCCCAGTCACCCGGTGCCTTCTGGGAATTGTAGTTTTGTCCCCTGCTCTCGCTGCTGCAGCCCCACAGGATCTCTCCGCGGGACACAACCCTTATGATGAGATGATATTATTTTGGAGCGTAAGTTTCTGCCTTTGTATCCACTCCGTTCAAGTGTTGCTTGAAATCGCTCGGGTTTTGCAGAGAAGGAAAGGAAACGCCAAGTTCTAAGTAACTTGCCCTAGGTCCCTGCGGGGTCCCAGCCTGGACCTGAACCCAGAGATCTGACCGCAAGTGCAGGGATTTTCCACTACACCCCGCCGCCTCCGCCCTGGTCCCAGATTGGCTCCTCTGGAAAGCAGACAAGCCAGGCCCTTTTCCCTGCAGGGCCCTCCTGGGAGTGGGTCTTTCACAATATTGGCTGGAGTAAGGGTCTGGGAGAGCGGAGAACACAGACTGTGGGTTCAGTTACGCCTGTCCTAGACCATATATCCTCGGCCTCCCCCTTCAGACTATTGAGGCCACGTGTCATGGAAAGATTCCTTGATGGAGAGTTAGGAGCTAGCCTTCCACTCCCAAATCAGCCTGTGTGGTTTGAAGTGGGAGACTCCACCTCCGTGGTCTGCAGTTTTCGCAATCCGCTTGCGCTCAAACCAAGGGTAGATTTTACAGCCAGGTTGCCAAAGTGTAGGTACTCTTACCAGCAGTGTGGCCGTAGGAAGAGTCCTTAATTTATTTTAATCTCCAATTCCACATCTGTGAAATGCTACCTTGGGGTTTGTTGTGAAAATTCAGAAAAATGTAGGTAAAGCACCAGTTGCACTGTAGTAAACTATTCTGTAGGAAGTTAAACAAAATGATTTTTGAAGTCTCTTGGCTCACTTCCAATTTGCATCCAACTGTCCATCCACCTTCTCTATATTTGTCGGGTGGCATAGCAGGATTATATGACATCGTGACATGATAAACCTGATTGGCTGTGGAAAAAAAAAAAAAGTTGCTGTGGAGTCTATTCTGACTCATGGTGATGCCTCGTGTTACAGAGCAGAACTGCTCTAGAAGCAGTTCGTAGCTGTAATCTCTACAGAAGCAGATCTCCAGGCCTTTCTGCAATGGTACTGCAGGGTGAGTTCAAGCCACCAACCTTTAGGTTATTACAAACCACTTGCATCACACAAGGACCTCATAACTGGCTGCAAACTCACTCTGAAAGGAGTGTGAGTGGGCAAGAAGGATACTGCTGGCTCAGGGCTGGAGAGCACTTTCTCAAACCTCCCCCATCCCCTAGGGGGCTTCCATGAAATAGTCAAGGGACCCCTAGAAGTACTTACTGGGTATGAGCAAGTGAATATCTGAACCACCCTCAGCCATAGAACAAGCAGCTCCTCAAGTATTTCCAGGATTAATTTCCAAGAACACTCATTCAAGATCTAGATAATTCCCCAGAGTCTGAAAAAGTTCTGCCTATATCCTCCTGTTTTGTGGAGGCTCCTTTCCTTGTAGTTAGCCTTCTGCAGACAGAAGCAAACAACTACGTTGTCTTTTTCACAGAAACCTCCCTAGCATTGAGACAAAATAGGACTTTTTTTCCCCCCAGTGAACCCACTTCACTCTTTTGACTTTCCTTTGGGATTCTTCCATCCACCATCAAGTTAATTGTGCTCTCTCGCCAGTTTTTGCACATCCCCGTGAAGGTGAATAACGCAGACTAGGACATCTCAAATAAGGTTCTGACTAACACAGAGCCTAACAGAAAAATTACCGAAAATGTTATGTCCTATTAGTAACTTCCATTATCGAATTATATCACAATGAGAATTGTTATGGTTTGAATTGTGTTATAAATCCTAACCTCTATGCCTGTGGTTATAACCCCATTTGGGCGTGGGTTATTTCTGTTATGTTAGTGAGGCAGGATTAATGTAGGGTGTGTTTTGAGTCAATCTCTTACAATAAATAAAAAGAGCACATCAGAGAAGCAGAGGTGGAAAGAGAGACTCCAAGCCACATGAAAATTGCCCAAGAGCAGCGCCCTGAAGAGACAAGGACTTTCCTCAACAGAGAGAGAAAGCCTTCCCCTAGAGCTGGCACCCTAACTTCAGACTTCTAGCCTCCTAAACCATAAGAGAATTAAATCTGCTTGTTAAAGCCACCCATTTGTGGCATTTCTGTTACAGCAGCAATATCTAAGATAACTAAGACAGGAATGAACACTCTAGGTTTGTGGTAGATTGTGGATCATTTTCTGCTTTATTTAGCTTGAGTCCCTGTCCCTGCCTCCTTCTCCAGCTCTCTGCCCTTGTAATTACCACATCTTCACCAAACATCTTTCACCACAAGTGGGCCTAGGCTCTGCTCAGAGTAAGTGACAGCACTCTCATGCAGCACTAGGGGATGCGCAACCCCTTGGACTGGCCATTGGCAGTATGTGCCAAGAGGCTGAAAAAGTGTTCAAGCCTTGGAGCCACAATGACACATCTGGCAGCCTCTTCTAAGGAAGTCGTCCCACGTGCAGGAGAAGCTTCAATGTGCGAGGATGTTCATTCCTGCATTATTCATTATAGTGGAAACCCAAAAGCAACCTATATGCCCAAGAAAAAAAATGATGGCATATCCATGTTGTTGTTATGTGCCGTCAAGTCAGACCCGACTCATAGTGACCCCTCCCAGAAGTAGATTGCCCCATTTTCCTTCCGAGGAGTGGCTGATAGGTTTGAACCACCAGGCTTCTGGCTAGCAGTCAAGTGCCTTAGGCACTACGCTACCAGAGCTCCCATGGCACATCCATAGTATCTTAGTAAATGGTGGTGAACACTATGCAGCAGTATGAGAAAATGTTTGCTAGGTTACATGAAAAGATCAGGACACAAAAAGCATGAATATGCCCCAGGGTGCAGTCAGCAAAATCCAGAATGAGGGAAACTAGGACAGTCAATTCCCTTCACAAATACACTACAAGAGGGAAAAAAGGAGGGGAAGAGATTTATAGATTAAAAGAGATTAAATGCACTATCAACTAAATGCCTTATTTGGAGCTTGAGTCAAGCAAACCAACTTCAAAAAAAGGTTTTATTAAATTATTGGGGCAACTGGAATATTCACCTGATATTTGATAATATTAAGGAATTATTAGAAATGTTAAGGCATGATATAGCATTGTGGTAATGGTTTTTAGTAAAAAAAAAAAAAAAAAAAAGTACCTCTTAGAAATATATACTGAAGTATTTGTGGATGGAATTATGTGATGACTGGATTTTCTTCAAAATAATCTGGGCTAGAGGTGTGGGGGAAGAAATAACAGGGACCATGAGGGGATGGTTATTGAAGCCAATTCTGCCCTCCTAGGTACCATATCTTCACTAAACATCTTTCAGCCAAGAGTGGGCCTGGCATTGTTCAGAATGAACAGCTGGGTGCTGGGGACATGAAGTTCCTTATATTATATATTTTTTTAATGTTTTAAATTGTTCATAATAAAAAGTTTTTTCTAGTCTTGCATATGCATTAATAATTAACATAAGACAGCTCCATAGTTACCAGCTGTGTGACCTTAGACAAGTCACTGAAACTCTCTGTGCTTCAGATACCTCATTTCTAAATGGAAATGGTGATGACTACAATAATACCCACCCACATGACAACCAGGAGGCTGGCGGTTCAAAGCCACCAGCCACTCCTCAGAAGGAAGATGGGGCAATCTACTTCCGTAGTGATACTGCCTTGGAAACCCCAGGAGGGGTTGCTGTGAGTCAGGTCTGACTCGATGGCACATAACAACAACAACAACAAGTGTTATCCTAAAGACTAAATGAGTCATTAATGTTATACAGGTAGAACAATGCCCAGCACATAGTAATGCTCTAAGCACATTGTTGCTTTTTCTTAACACCTTCCACAAATATTTGAGCATCTACTTTACTAACCTATGGAAATTCAACAAAATAAAAACAACTTGCTTTAGGAAGTGGGCTTAGGGAATGATCTTTTTCATTCTCTAGTTTCAAACTTTGTGTAATGTGATATTATTTCTTTTAAATTTTTTATGAAATGTTATTTAGAAGAGGAGTGAGCCACCTTCACAGCCTCTCCCTGCCCTCTGGGAGGGAGCTCCAGGTCTGCAGTCTGCTGAGGTAGACTCATTCCTCAGCCTTGGGGTGTTTCCATCTGGCAGGGCAGGGTGGCCTCTGTTTGCCATAGATACACTCTTGTGGACCTAGATAGCACACGTCGGGCCAGATAATAAACAAGGCACCTTCCTGAGATGGTGGCAGTGGTGGGGGAGGTAGGGCATCAAGAAATAGAGCCCCTCCCCCTGAGGAACAGATTGCCACCCCTCCACCCACCCCTCCTACTCCCTCCCACCCAGCTCTCCCCGCACCTTCCCCTGCCCCCAACCTCACCTTCCAGCTTCCTGAAAGAGAGCAGTCCCATTCAGAGCAAGTGCGACCACAGCAAAGAGCTGTTTATTTCATTGCCAGTTGTGTATTTGTTTTTGTTTGGGGGGCGGCACCCAAGGCACGTGGGGGGCGGGTGCTGAGCAGGCAAAGGAGCACTGAGTGAACTTCCTGAGAGCCCCTGAGAGGATGAGAAACAAGCGTGGAACGGGCAGGACTGACAACATCACAGGTCAGCGCCTGGTCAGGCCTTCCTCCGCCAGCTCTGTGCTGGGCTATTTCAAGCTTCCAGAGGGAAAGGGTTGATCCCGCCAGGGCCCCTTGGGCCAAAGCCAAGACTTAAGAACCAGAACGTCCCTCTGGGAGCCAAGGACAGGGCTGTACTTTAGGAACCCCTCAATCTGCATATTCTTTGATATAGATCATTGCCATTTTCTTCCATGAACAAACATGCAAATGGTACAGATCAAAAGGGCAAGAGAAGTAGCACCAAATCCCGGTGAAGGTCGCAAAGCTTGACCGAGGTAAACGATGTCACTAAGACGTGTGTACACAAGGGTCTTTGTGGTAATCGCTATG